TAAGGATGCTAATTGAAACGTGCCCTAAAACTAACCATCAAAAGCAGGTAAGTAAAAGGGAGAAAGAAATGGGGTTGGAAGACATTCCACACACACACACACACTTATTACAAAATTCACCCTCTCGACGGAGGGTCCGAATGAATAATACATGCCAACTAATTAGCTAATTAATTATTACACAACCGAATTTTATAACTAGCTACAACTAATTATTACAAAACTTAATTAATTAACAAATTAATTAACTAACTACGAAACCAAATGCTAACTAACAAGTAAGCAATTAAAACAATGCTGCCTCGGCAAGTTGAAGAAGGTGAACATGCATGCTCGGTTCCCGTCTCGATAAGCTCTCCGGTTGCTCTTTAGAGGCTCTGTCTGCAGGGCGTCCTCAAGGAATTCCTGCTAAACCTTACCAAAACCAGTCTGGGGAATGCATCAGTGGCCTGCCGACCACAGGGAGATGTTGCTGACCACCTGCCAGCCAAAGATGGTACACTGTCGGCCAAGGATGAGAAGGTGCCGGCCATCTGTAGGGCACTGCCGACCACTGATGTGGAGGTGCCGGCCATGTGTAGGGCACTGTCGGCCACTGATGTGCTGTGACACCAAACTACAGTAGAGCACAAAATAGAGAAAATGGAGGGTCTCCCAAGGGTATGTACGTACTATGCCACCCCATATCACCTCAAAACATCAAAAGGAAGGCATAGTTGGATCCACGACCATCAATCACGCATCCCGATGCATGATGGCCAAAAATCCAACTTGTTCAAATCAATGTGAAATGAATGCACAAATGAACACATAAGTGCCTAAAACTCTATCATGGATAATCAAGAGCGCCAGTGACCGAGAATTGAGACATGTCTCATCACGTCCCTCGTTTCTCGTGCTCAGATTAACACTTAATCCAAACAACAATGCAATGCAAGGATGGCATACACAATGCTAACTTGAACATGCAATCATGCAATATGACTTAAGCATGCAAAATGCAGTGTAATAAACATGCACAACATGTAATGGAACTAGCATGCGACAACATGCAAAGGTCGAGCAAGCATAGAACAACATGCAAGACAAGCATGCAAAATGTAATGGCTCATCAAAGAGGCCTAAGTGCACAACTCTCTAGAGTGCTTAAGGAGTAACAAATGTACAAGTGTAACAACACTAAGTGCACTGAAATTAAGTAAGAAATGATGTCAAATCCTTCAAACGACACAAGTATGGCATGCCAGGGTCCTAAGGCATGAAAGCTAGCAAAGAGTACCACAAAGGGGGGGCATGCAATACATGGCACAAGTGCATGAATTAAGCATGGACATAGCTTAATTAGATCTAAACAAAGACTTAAACATGCTGAGATGAAGGCTCAAATACCTAGGCACGCAAGCATACATGCTAAGCCATAAACTAGACAATAATGCACAACACTCAAAGACACTTAAAGCATGAATGAAGTGGGAATATGACAATGCTATATGCTCTGAAATGAAGCATTAAATGATGCCAAATCATCTAAATAGCTTAAACATAGCATGCATGAAGCATCAAAACACAAAGCTAGCGAGGCCAATTGCACTACAACTATACAAAGCATGAAGGATATCGCAAAAGAAGCCCAAAATAGTCCTAAAACATGTTAAAGTGATACTAAAACATGCATGGAAGTAAGCCAAAACAAGCTAGCATGGTGAGCATGAGGCATGATGCATACAAGGCAAATAAAGTGGATTACACTACACTTATTAAGACCAAGCATGGGCTGACTCAATCAACAAAAATCAGAGTTATATCATGGCATAATAACCCCAAAAACCCACCGAGATGGTAACCTAAGGACCTAAGCATAGAGGCATGCACAATAATCCATTCATGAGGCATAAAACACAAATTCTCCAAGGCATCGAAAGCATGTCAAATGCAGGTGTATGACCACATTTCATGGTCTGAAATAACATTCAAAATGATGGCAAAGCATGGAAACATCACATGCATGGCATGGTAAGGGCCTCAAAACCCAAGGCTAGTCAAAGCATTTACACTATAGCTATACAAAACATGAGTGATATGACCATGGCAGCCCAAAACAATCCTAAAATAGCCCAAAATAAGAATAAAATCATGCTGGAGCAAAGCCAAAACATGCTAGAATGATGAGTCAACATCATGCACAAAAAGCTAGTAAGCAAGATTTCTTCTACAAGTATATGGAGCATGCAAAAGATAACCAAACCCACTTCAGACGGAGTTATGTCATGGCAAAACATCACCAAAAACATGCTGAAATGTACTCAACATAAGCTAGGCAAACATGCTACTTTGATGAGCCACAAATGGGATTACACTACACATACAAGAAGCATACAAAATATGACCAAACCAGCCACGGACAGAGTCAAGGAAGGTCCTAAAAGTCACAAAAAAAGTGCCTAAACTAGGCCTCAAGAGTAAAGGGATACATGCTCCTTTGATAGGCCAATAATACAAGCAAACAAAACAAGAAGAGAGGGGGCCACCCCCTCTGATTTGAGTCCTCAAAACCATATGCCTACCACTGAAAATACACTGGATTTCAGTGGCTAAAAGGCCAAACAAAACCTAGCTCAAAGGCCTTAAAGCATGGCTCAAAACAAGGCCAAACAAAGCATACAAGAGGGTTGTACAGCCCTAACACCAAAAAGACCTTAAACAAACTTCAAAACCACTTAAATACAGAACTTTTTTCAGTTGAAAGAAAGGCCTAAAACAATATGCAACGACGGCCAAACTGAGGTACAAATAAATGCTAAAAAGGGGAAGAAACTCACCCTTGAAGACCAACTTCGAAACCTGCAATCTCAGGGGCCAAAAACCAAGTTTCAGAGCTCAAGTAACCCCCTCAAGAACCTCAGCTCAAACATGGTTGTGTATCTCTATGTGTTGTAGTGCAAAAGTGCAAGAAAAATGGACTTTAGAGCACTATTCTACGCAATATAAAGAGAGAGTGTGAGAAATATATATAGAGAGAGATATAACTCCTTCAAAACTTTCTTCAACCTCTGATATAGAAGAAGGCTCCTTCCTTATATAGAAGAATACAAGAAGAAGCTTGTTAAACAAGCTTGGTAAGAGCTTCATCCCTCCATACACGTGTATGGAGGGGAGAGGAGTGAAAACCAGCTGGCTCAAAAGATTTGGCGTGAAACCTGCTGAGACAGGGGGTCTGCCGGCCATCAGTGGTGGCCGATAGTGGCTCATTGATGGCCGGCAGGCATCATCAATGGCCGGCAGTGGCAAAGGCATGGCCGGCAGGGCCAAAAAGGGGCCGCCAGTGCCTTCCACAAAGCATGCAGAAAGGGCCAATACAAGGTCCAAAAATGGGGCGGGAAGGATACAAGGTTTGGAAAGTTCAAACCTGTGACGTTCCATCGTGAAAGTCGAGTACTCGGCGAGTAATCGAACTAGTTGTTGGGTGTACCTGCAAGCACAACCAAGTCTTGAGGACGGTCAAAAATGGGGTGTCTACAAGTAGCCTTGTGCCATTGCACAAACCAGAAGAAGGGTCAAGATTCCTCAAAAGCATAATTGGGGCTCCAACTCTCAAATGCAATGCATGTAGGGACATTCCTCCTAGTGAAATGGAATTTAAAAACTCTTGTTGGTACAAATTTTGGGTATCATTTTCAACTTTATCAAATGAGTGGTACACTCTTGATTGTCCCGGAAATCTCTGAATGATTTTCTCATTGAGCTTGTCGACATCTTCATTGTGAGGGGTTATTATGCCCCTACTAACCATATACTCGGCGTCAAAAGAATGGTTTATGATATCAGGATAAATTTCTTCTAATAGTTGAATTATTGATTCTTCGTCATTCTATGGTATTGCCATCGTTGTTGGTACTTTGATCATTTCATCTATAATGGTAGGTTGTACACCATCTGCAACAGATAAAAGAAATTCACCAAACTATTGGTCATTTATAGAGCGCATGTTTTGCTTTAAACAAAGTATTTAAATGTGACTCCAAAGAGGTGATTTGACTATCGATGCAGCAATAGTTTCAGCCTCCTGGGCCATCCACAAAGAAGATTGCACCAGTATTGCATTCCACAGCCTCCATGATTGAATTGAATGCTAAGTGTTGATCACTATTTAATGTGGCAATAGAATTTAAGTCTTCTTGAGGAGTTACAATGGAAAACTCATCTTGTATGACCTTTGGAACTGTTGAATTATCATCCAAATTCATTGTCATCTCAGGCAAATCGTATTCTGATCTGTTCTTATTATGCTGTAGCAGGAGACAGTTTATATCTTGCAGAGTTTTGTTAAGGATATACATATTATTCATACTGTTTGAAGATATGTAATCTTCAATCAAGTAAGAATAAATTTCATCCCACAAACTTCGCACCCCTGTTGGTACACAGTAAACCAAAATTGTAACGAACAATCTCCTTAAAGCTAATGGCATGTGCATGGTTGCAGCTTCTAACAAACATTGTCATATGCTATCATCATACTCTAAGAAACCATGATGTTCAACTGCTTGTTTAAAAGTTGGGTATGCAATTCCAGTAACCATTAACAAATGATCGAATGATTTTGGTCCTCGAATATGATTGAGTAAAATTCTTAAGTAAAATCTCTCCCCTTCTGATGGCAAAACTGTGTAAATTCTACCAATTACTCTTTGACGGCTCAATCTCAATTGCCAAATCTTTGCGCTATTGCACCATTTATAGTGTTGTGGTATCTCTCGATACAAGTACCGATCTGCAGTTTCATCATCAACATTTAATTGAAAGAATTGGGTAAGCATTGTTCTGGAATAATACTCATCACCTAAAACATTTGTGATGTCTTGGAATGTATAAAACCTCACTTGCTGCTTATTTGGTAAGTGTATTTGGAGGCGTTCTACGCTAGGAGTCATTTTGGTCATTAGGAATTTGAATATTTTCCACAATGCTTCTAGAGCACAAACCCATTTTCCATCTATGAACTATTGTACTTCATCATAATTAGGACCTTGATGAACTTCTAGTGCAACACGGTCAGGCCCTTTATAAACATATTTATATAAATACTTCACACTTGTAACACTACTACAAATTTCAAGATTGATATGACAATCATATTTCAAGAGCAACCATGAGTTGTATGTAATGACCCAACTATTGTCCACCAAGACACTTGGATTACTCTCTAAAGGAACTGACTCCCCTTTTCTTCTTCGATAATCAGGATATGAATCATTTCCAAGTGTAGTAATTGGAGAAAATGGCTTTGGGAAACGTCTTTTGCACCGACCATTTGTCTTACACGGGGACCGTTCATTGTACATTCCACATGGGCCATGTATCATGTGTTCGAGAATTGCACTGTATAATCTAGGCTCTAATCTCTTGTTTGAAATTTCAGCTCTAACAATGTTATCATAATCATCAGGAGTGCGTAACTTATCATTTTCATCCAAAATAATGACCATGTGGGCAAGTGGTAAACCTCTTTTTTGGTACTCAATAACATATGCATATGCTAGAACCTTCCCGAGTACATTTTTTGTAAGAATGTCGGTCTTCATCTCATCAAATTTTGAATGAAATATTCTTGTTAGCAAATCAAGACGATCATGTGGTGACTGTCCAGGTAGCAACTCAGCTTTAATTTCAAGCCAATTTGGATTGTAGGTCATTGTAAAGAAAATATCAGGTTTTCCATACTTTTAGACCAGGGCCATTACATCTTGATATCGCTAATACATGTCTCGTGGGCTACCAACAAATGACGATGGCAATATTGTTCTACGACCCACATTACCTAAACAAATATTTCACAAAAGAAGAAAAAAATTGTATGTATGAATATAAACAAACATGGGTACATGTAATTGTAATATCGTACGTGACAATTTGTACCTCCATAATTTTCACCAACATGTACTGCATCTAGAAGACCTTGATAAAAATCTGCTCGAATGTGATTCTGATGAGTACGTATTTATCTTAATTTGTTGGACTCAATCTTCATGTAATTATTTACGACATACTGTTGTAAAAGACGACCTCCTCGAAGAAAAAGAGATTGATCACCAGGGCGAATATGAATTGGTAGTATCTGAATACTTATAAGTAATTAAAAGTAAAGATTTCCTTTGAAATAATTATAGATTAAACAACTTCGACGAAGTAATTTTTTCATATTATGTGTACGTCGTACCTGTAGCATATAAGAATAGAAATCACAGCATGTTACTTTTCTGCCATCATTACTTTTGCTATTTGCATCTCATCCATATGAACCATAGGGTAACAACAGAGGATATTGTAATGGATCATAATATCCGACAATATCAAGAATATTTAGGAGGTGACCACTGGTTGATTGGACAATGATATCTCTTGGTCTTAAATTTCCAACTTCTTTGCCACAAACTAAAACTGCAGCAACTTCAGGAGCAGTCGGAAGGTAGTATTGGGACCTATTATGTGGTTGCTCTTTGATCTAAAGTTTGCATTCATGTATATCTGGACGCTGAGCTAACTGGCAAAATGTGTGTACAAATGGATTTTGAGCATTTAAAATATTCTTTATCTTGTCAAGCAAAACCAAGTGCAATACTTCATTTTCAGACATTCGATTCTCATTCTTGTAGTCAGTGTCATAAACATACAGTTGCAAATATCTCGGTCCGTCGCTAAAATTTGGTAAGAGACTCCCAATCTTATGATATATGGATCCTTGTGCACGAAACATGTACACACCTCGAGTTCTTGTTGCTAAGTTTTCATCAACATGAACACCCATTGAAGTGAATGAGAAAACATGATTATAGAATCGAATATTTTATCTGAAATGATGACCCTCCACTGTTTGGTAAGAGAAAATATCAATCATCTCATTTGGAGCTGTTACTGGTGGCAAAACAATGGTTCCATTATTACAACACATGGTAGACATTTCACGGTGGAACAATCTTGCGTTGCAATGTCTACATGTAGTTGGAGCAGGAAACTGCATTCTTTGGAACCTTTCACTTTCATGAAAATTTCTTGCACAATTGTGATATCTATGGATAAATGATCGATTATCTAGAATATCTTCATCACTCAAAGAATCTTGATTGTGGTCGACATGAGGGATATTTCCTATGACAATACATGTATGATGTATAGGTTTATTATTAACACAATACTATTTATTTGAAAGTGTTTGAGTTGCATGTTCAATAATAATTGTAATTGTACTGGATATCATATTTGCATGGCCATTTGAACTTTGTGAGGATCATCTTGTCTGTTGCCACTTGTGCTTCCATGCTCATAAGTCGAATGAGTAGGTGCATATCGGGATAAGTTGATACGTGAGCGTAAAGTCATTCTACTTTCCCGACAAAAAACATTAGTCACAACTAAATCCCCTTCTTCGTGAATGGTTGGCAAAACTGTTGCTCTCGGCCTGCGCCATCCTGTTCTATTTCTTCTTGGGATTGCATCAAAAAAGTTTAATATGCATCCTAACAGTTAAAATTGTACATAATAAATTAAATGAATATTAATGTCAAATTTAGAAGTGTAAAAGCTTTTAAAAAAAAAACGTTTATAAAATTTGAATACTTACTACTTGTTTATGCATTTGTCATATTATGTGCTTGATTTGGATGAAAAGTTTGTTCGAGATTTTCAGATATTTGTCTTCTTTGTCGATAATTTGTTCATCGCCTTGCTAGTTGTTGTTCGCGCTATTTAGTAGTCAAAGCAGCCCTCCTTTGTCTAGCGTAATTATGCAAACTTTTCCTATGAATTTCTCTTTGATACACATTAGAATTCGCGCTTTGTTCGCAAATGAACAATCTTCGCCTACGCTGAGTAAGACGACATTGCTCCAATCTTGCTGAGCGTTGTTCAGTGCTCAAATTTTGAAGGCGAAACTATTCGAGCTCTCTTTGTGGTTGTTCAGTTTGAGCATTTGATTCCGAAGCTGAGCGTTGCCTCCTCTGTTGTAGATATAAACGACATCGTTCACCATTTTGTTGTTGTACATGTCTCAAATTTGATGTGTCGAGGTAATCATGATTCATTTTTTCTGAGATTGTTAGTAAACTAACACTTATGTAGATGAAATCCAGCAATTTTTAAAATGTGCCTACATTATATAAAATTATGTGAAAGACAATAATAATATATCCTAAGGTTTGTATTTTCAAGTTTTTTGAACTGTTTATTTTTAGTAATATTTGTTACGTAAATGAAATCTAGTTATTTTTAAAATGTGCCTACATTATATATTAGATACTAATTTCATATTTTTTTAGTTATTTATATGTAATTATGTGAAAGGCAGTAATAATATATTATGAGATTGTTAACTGCAATGTCACTCGTATACTCACAAAGCTTTATATCTTTATGTAAGTGTTTTCATATGTTTGTTTTTATATTTTTATAATGCATATTATTTTAAGTACTAATATCATTTTGTGGAGAATTAAATAAAATTGCAAGTGAAAGAGATTACCTGGTAATGATGAGCCAAAGCGTGTGCAACTTGAAATATAATTTAAAACAAATTGAATATAATTTTTTCAAACATTCAATTAAATATAAAAAAAAAATTAAAAATACTTACTATCAAACGTCACGTTCAACAATCTCTTCAAATTGTTTTGATGCAATTTTGGACATACATATATGACAACATTAAACTACAAAAAATAAGATGAAATTGACAAAAAATGAAGTACGTAACTTACCATGTAACAATGTTGCACATATTTATGCAACTGAAAAAAAAAATTATAATATTAAAATAATTGTAATTTTTCTTCAAGTATATTTGTAAGTTTTTTTTTCTAATTTTTTTTTAAGAACAATTCAAATAATGTTATGAGAAAGATCATGAAAAATATATATATATCTATTTTTAATTTTAATAAATTTTGGTGTCCTCTGTAGACGTCCCCGAACGCCCCGGGAGGGTGAGCCCCGTTCTGTTTGTTTTGGGCTCGCTTACAGTTCGGACTCTCGAATCGTCACGGTTCTTAATCTGAACCAAAGAGTCCAAATCTGGCAAATCGTTTTGAGAACACAGATTTTTCGAAAAGAGGTGCCAAACATGGACTGCTTTGCCAGATACAAAGTCGCCACCTAAATATTTTATTTTGGGGGAATTTAGGAAACCCTGACTCGTTTGCCTAAGGCCACGTGTCCGTCATTACCAAAGTTGCCTCGGCTCGGGAACTTGGGTACGATTAGGGAAGGTCAGCTATGAGCACCCCCGCTCGCCCGATCAAAGATCGGCCTCTACTAACCATGATATCTTGTTTTGAAAGCATTATGTGTTCTTATTCTGGTTATTAGCCTAGAATTACTATGTTTTACTCACAGCAAACAAGTATAGACCAAATTGCCTAAATTGGAACAAAACGTTTCATGTTTGTTTCGAAAATGGTTTGCTACTTGCAAGTAGGCTAAAATGCAGGTTTTGTCACCCTCAAGTGGGCTTTGGAAAAGATGGTTTTGCCACTATCCAGTGGGCTTAAAACTCACAGTTTTAGTGCATTATTCCAATTTAGGTAATTCAACCTCCATCCACAAGCACTCAAGCAGTTATATCACATAAGCAGCTAGCCTCATGGTAATTATGTTGTCATGTTAACATTCACACTCATGCGAGATGCTAAAGCATAAATGCTCACCTAGTACTCCGAGCCAAAACAGAAACTAGTTAGTAATCATATGCATGATCCTAGTTCATGTTAAGATGGCTAATGCAACACATGCAAGATGCAACTACAATAGGCTCCGCTATTCTAAGATGGCATATGATGATGCTACAACTAACACGTATTCAACTTAGAATTGAAATACAATTCAGTTAGTATGATGCGCCGAGCCCGGTGCATGCAAGACAAATATATGGATGCACGCATGCATAGCATAAGGTATGCTAATTTAAATATGCCCTAATACTAACCATTGAAAGCAGGTGAGTAAAAGGGAGAAAGAAGTGGGGGTTGAAAGACATGCACGCACGCACCCACACTTATTACAAATTCGCCCTCGCTCGGAGGGACCAAAAGAATAATACAAATCAATTAACCTACAAGCTAATTAAATATTACAGACCACTTAACTAGTTAAGCAAATTAACTAAGCTAAGAAAGCAGTAAATGCCTCAGGAAGAGGGTCCAATGCACGCGTGCTCGGGTTTGCACGGAAATCCATCGCCATGCACAAACTACCTCTGTTTACCCTGCTCTGCTCTTCTGAAAATTACACAACTCCCAAGGAGCACTCTATGGATGTTGGAGAGCATCACCGACCAAGTGGGATCATCACCGGCCATTTTGAAGTGGTCATCGCCCATCCATTGAGCTCTCGGCCAAATATATTTGGTCGGTCGGCAGTATATATGGCCGGCCGGCCAAAACTTCCTACAGAAACCTGTTTGACAGTAGCAGAGGGCAGACAAGGCATGGCAATGCATTTTCAAAGCAATGTTTGCACCACCACCCTCCTTATCATGTTCATGACTCAAAGGGGCATGGTATTCGATTCTTGGACCACCAATCGCGCATTTCAATGCGTGATGGCCCAAAGAGTCAAAGTGTGCAATTTCAATATGGAATGAAATGCACAAAACAAACAATGGGCCCCAACCTCCATCATAATCAATTCAAGAGGCAAGAGATGC